TCTACCACTACCACCAACATAACACCAGCACATCATCGGCTCCAGCACAACTATCACTACCACTACCACTAGCACAGCACAAACACTAGCAATACCACTACTACTACCACCAGCAGAGCACCAGCACTACTACTACCACTACCACAAGCACAGCATCAGCACTACCACTACCCGAACCACACAACACCAGCACTTACACAACCACTACCATAAGCACTACCACTAGCACTACCACTACCACTGCCACTACCACTACCACAACCAACAACACAGCACCAGCACCACCACCACCACCACTATCAGTGCCACTAGCACAACACCAGCACCAGCACTATCACTATCACTATCACTATCACTATCACTATCACTATCACTATCACTATCACTATCACTACCACTACCAATACCTATACCTATACCTATACCTATACCAATACCAATATCACTCTTTCTACCAACAACACAGCACCAGCACAAGAACTACCACTACTACTACCACCGGCACAGATCCGGCACTTGCACTACCACTAACACTACCATTGCCACCAGCACATCACCAGCACTAGATCTACCACTACTACTACCACCAGCACAGAACCAGCACTGCCACTACCACCAGCACCAGCAGCACTACCACAAGCACAGAACCAGCACAAGCACTACCACTACCACCAGCACCACCAGCACTACCAAAACCACCAGCACCACCAGCACTAACACTTACACCAGCACAAGCTCCAGCAACAGCAGCACTACCACTACCACCAACAAAACACCAGCACATCACCAGCTCCAGCACGACTAGCACTACCACTACAACCAGCACAGCACCAGCAAGGCACCAGCACTACCATTACCAGTACGACAACCACTAACACCAGCACTAACACTAGCACTACCACTACTACTACCACCAGCACAGGCACTTACACTACCAATACCATAAGCACTACCACCACCACCAACACAGCACCAGCACTAGCACGAGCACTAACACTAACACTACTAATACCAATACCACTAACACCAGTACAGCACCGGCACTAGCACTAGCACTACCACTACTACTACCACCAGCACAGCACCAGCACAACCACTACCACTACCACAAGCACAGCATTAGCACTACCACTACCCCAACCACACAGCACCAGCAGCTCTTACACTACCAATACCATAAGCACTACCACCACCACCGGCACAGCACCAGCAATACCAATACGACCAGCAATACCACTTCCACTACCAATACCAATACCAAAACCACCACCCGAGACCGGCACTAGAACTACCACTACTAGTACCACCAGCACAGCACCAGCACTAGAACTACCACTAATACTACCACCCGCACAGCACCGGCACAAGCACTACCACTACCACCAGCATTAGCACTACTACTACCACAACCACTGCCACCATCACTACAACTACCAGTACTACTAGCACCAACACAGCACCAGCACTAGCACGAGCACTACCACTAACACTACTAATACCAATACCACTAACACCAGCACAGCACCGGCACTAGCACTAGCACTACCACCAGCATTAGCACTTGCACTAGAACTACCACTACCACTACCACCAGCATGACCCCTGCCACTACCACTACCACTACTACTACTACTACTAATACCAATACCACTACCACCAGCACAGCACCGGCACAGCACTAGCACTACCACCAGCATTAGCACTTGCACTACCATTACCACTGAAACCAGCTCATCATCAGCACTAGAACTAACATTACTACTACCACAGGCATTACCCCTGCTACCACTACCACCAGCACTAGCACTAACACTACCACTACTACTACCACCAGCACAGCACCAACTCCAGCAGCTCTAGCACTACCACTACCACTACCACCAGCACGACCAGCACTACCACTACCACCAGCAAAGCAATAACACAAGCTCCAGCAACGACAGCACTACCACTACCACAAACACATTACCAGCACAGCACCAGATCCAGCAGCTCTAGCAATGCCACACCAACTACCACCAGCACTACCACTACCACTACTACCATCAACACAACATCAGCACTACCACTACCACTAGCACTTACACTACAAATACCACTACCGCTACCACTACCATAAGCACAGAACCAGTACTACAACTACAACTACCAACAGCAGAACACCAGAACAAGCATTATCACCATCACCAGCACCAGCACTACCACTATCAATACCAATACCACTACCAATACCACAAGTACAGCACCATTACAGCCATTACTAGTACCACCAGCACAGCACCAGTACTAGAGCTACCACTACTACCACCAGCACAGCACCGGCACTAGCACTACCACTACCACCAGCATTAGCACTAGCACTACCACTACCATTGCCACCAGCACATCACCAGCACTAGAACTACCACTACTTCTACCACCAGCACAGCAAAAGAACTACCACTATTACCAACAACATCTGCACTACCACTACAACCAGCACAGCACCGGAACTACTACTACCACCGGCACGACCAGCACAAGCTCCAGAAACAGCAGCACTACCACTACCACCAACAAAACACCAGCACATCACAGGCTCCAGCACAACCATCACTACCACTACCACCAGAACAGCACAAACACTAGCACTACTACTACTACCACCAGCACAACACCAGCACTACTACTACCACTACCATACAGTAACAGCTCTTACACTACCACTACCATAAGCACTACTACTATTACCATCACAGCACCATCACTACCACTACCACTACCACTGCCAACAGCACAGCCCCAGCACCACCACTACCAGTACCACTAGCACAACACCAGCACCAGCACTACCACTACCACTATTAATATCACTACCACTACCAATACCAATACCTATACCAATATCACTACTACTACATACAGCACAGCACCAGCACAAGAACTACCATTACTAGTACCAATAGCACAGCACCAGCACTATGGTACCACTACTACTACCACCAGCACAGAACCGACACTGGCACTACCACTACCATTGCCACCAGCACTACCACCACCACTACCAATACCAATACCAATACCACAAGTACAGCACCAGCACTAGAACTGCCACTACTAGTACCACCAGCACAACACCAGTACTAGAGCTACCACTACTACCACCAGCACAGCACCGGCACTAGCACTACCACTACCACCAGCATTAGCACTAGCACTACCACTAACACTACCATTGCCATCAGCACATCACCAGCACTAGAACTACCACTACTTCTACCACCAGCACAGCACAAGAACTACCACTACCGCTACTACTACCACCAGCACAGCACCAGCACTTCTACTACCACTACCATACAGTAACAGCTCTTACACTACCACTACCATAAGCACTACTACTATTACCATCACAGCACCATCACTACCACTACCACTACCACTGCCAACAGCACAGCCCCAGCACCACCACTACCAGTACCACTAGCACAACACCAGCACCAGCACTACCACTACCACTATTAATATCACTACCACTACCAATACCAATACCTATACCAATATCACTACTACTACATACAGCACAGCACCAGCACAAGAACTACCATTACTAGTACCAATAGCACAGCACCAGCACTATGGTACCACTACTACTACCACCAGCACAGAACCGACACTGGCACTACCACTACCATTGCCACCAGCACTACCACCACCACTACCAATACCAATACCAATACCACAAGTACAGCACCAGCACTAGAACTGCCACTACTAGTACCACCAGCACAACACCAGTACTAGAGCTACCACTACTACCACCAGCACAGCACCGGCACTAGCACTACCACTACCACCAGCATTAGCACTAGCACTACCACTAACACTACCATTGCCATCAGCACATCACCAGCACTAGAACTACCACTACTTCTACCACCAGCACAGCACAAGAACTACCACTACCGCTACTACTACCACCAGCACAGCACCAGCACTTCTACTACCACTACCATACAGTAACAGCTCTTACACTACCACTACCATAAGCACTACCACTATTACCATCACAGCACCATCACTACCACTACCACTGTCACTACATCAACCAACAGCACAGCCCCAGCACCACCACTACCAGTACCACTAGCACAACACCAGCACCAGCACCAGCACTACCACTACCACTATTAATATCACTACCACTACCAATACCAATACCTATACCAATATCACTACTACAACATACAGCACAGCACCAGCACAAGAACTACCACTACTAGTACCAATAGCACAGCACCAGCACTATAGTACCACCAGCACTACCAAAACCACCAACAAAACACCAGCACATCACCAGCTCTAGCACGACTAGCACTACCACTACAACCAGCACAACCACCACTAGCGCTACCACTACGACCAGCACTACCACTACCACTACCAATACCAAAACCACCCGTACAGCACCGGCACTAGCAGTACCACTACCACCAGCATTGGCACTACCACTACCGCAACCACTGCCACCATCACTAGAACTTCCAGTACTATCACCAGAACAGCACCAGCACTAGCACTACCTCTACCACCAGCACAGTAGCGGGACTGTAAACAACGTCAGTTTCTTGAGAAACATCAGCAATTGCAAAAAATAAACAGCACAGTGATAACATATGCAGTAACACCACAAACACCATCACACAAACATCAAAAACCACACTTAACATCATTGTCACAGCTAACATCATCGGCACGACGCACCATACACCACAAACAGCAGCAAGTTTTGCCTCAAATCTAGTTGCATGCTGATCCTGACATGTGATATTCAGACTCAGTATTTTCGTCCTCTAACCTCAACAGCCTGGGTCGCTGCTCACAAGGTCAGTCAGTGTTCGTTCAGGTCCGGCCACTGTAATTTACGAGCAACCGTAACTTATATAAGGAGGGAGAATGGCTGGGATTCAAAACCACGAAAAGCAGATCCTTAATACGTAATACACAATAAACAATCTCACCTGTAATGATAGCAACTTTTCCTCTCAGAGCCATTGTATCAGGTGACTTTTCAACAAGTCTATTAGGTAGGGTATGGAATACCTTTCTTGGTGACGATTGAGGTGGCTGCGATATCTAGGGCACCACGGATCACGTTACAGGTCAGGAGGTTAAAATATGTGCCCACTGGCTTGTACTGGTATACTCTTTATCATGATTCAAACCTTGCATGTTTATCTATTGTCAGTAACACAATGTCTGTGAGTCGATACTTTGTAATCGAGCGGTGTTGGAATGAAAAAAAAGATTTGTTTAATTTTTGGTCGGCAATAAAATTAGGGTTGGTCGGGCGATGAGAAACACAAAAAAATAAATATTCTGCCCTTGCTAAAAAGCACATGTTTAGTTGTAAATTCCAAGGTAAATCTTTGACATCGCGAGGCACGCATAGCCGTTACAGTCCTACATCTACATCTACATCTCGAGCCCAGAGCTGCCTGAAAGATTGTGTACAGTTTTTGTGTAATGATTCATTATGTATTGAAGACTTTCTGTCTACTTACAGCTTAAAGTGTTCACAGAGGAAAACGGTAGATTAAATAGTATATTTGAGGATAGTGCCTTAACCAGACCGAACTTTGAACTGTTTTCACAGTTGTTGCTCAGTTTTTATGATGTTTAGCTTAAATGCTCCAGTTAAATATTTGAGTCATGGTAGTAATGGAGTGAGGACTAGATTAACTAGTGATTGATATTATGAGCTAAGTTGGTGATCGATGGGGTACGATTGCACACAACGAACTATTTCACTTACAACCACCTCCATGAATGCTGTCTTAAGATCGACTGACTTTTGCAAAACATTATAGGGCTGTATCCCGAATGGAATTCTGATAAAACAGTTAAACTATATTGGCCTGGGATAGAAGTACGGATCTACCTTTGAAGCATGATGTCAAATAATGAGCCAGGTCACTGAATCTGATCACCTTATTCGGTTCAGTAAACATGTTTGCTGTTTTTTTTGTTTTGCTGTTTTAAAAAAACTCAGCAATATTACAGTAGTATGATGGTTGTCAGTAAATAATGGAATATGGACCTGAGAATCTAATGATAAAGGTGATTGACAACGATCTATTATAACATGCATCAATTAAATTAGCGAACCTGACCAACCAATCTGGTTTGTCACCTCTTTCCACAATCACTTCTTTGGTCACTGACATAAGCTCAAACCTGGGGTCCCAGCATAGTTCACCTAAACACAGATATGATACAATGTGTGTTCTGGTGTAACGCCATACTCTGTAAACAATTATAAGGTGTTTGCTTGTAAATATTCAAGTCCGAAAAAACAATTATTGATAATATGAGCAATAATCCACACCCTCAAGGTATTATGACACATTATCCACCAATTAACCACTGACTGCGTCTTGGACTATTGGGGCTATGCTTAAGTGTACAGAATGGTGACATTCGTTTTTTGATTTCTACTGACCCGTCACCCCGCCGTCTTGCAGTTCTTGACTTCCTCCAAATTATTTTGGTTATTACCAGTCAATGACAGCTTAAATGTAGCAAAGAGGAACAAAAACACAATTGAGGACATTGCGTCAACCAATCTTGGCTCTGTACATACAAAACAGAGCGGGTTGTCAGTTGCTCAAGATCTGCTCTGCACAACCTGTTTGTCGGCATTTTAGTTTAATTGAAATACCGGAGCTAAATCATGGCGTCCTGTCACTAGACAAACTAGGGATTGTGAGCTATGTTCGAGACCGACGGGGTACGACTGCATAAAATGAATTAAGTCACGTAGCCTGACTACCCGATCCATCTGTTACGAAACACTGGGGACCAGTTCTGAGCTGGAGTCCCTTCGGGGTGTCATCTTACTGTTGGAAGAAAACTCGACTGATTGAATGTCGCCAAACGCCGCAGCTGGCAATATTGCAAGCTTAATCACGATTTAAACTAGTGTTTACAAGTGTAACTGGTGGGAAACATGGCAAAGTGCAGATTGATGGGGAACATGTGCATCCGAAATTTAAGGAGGGGCTGTCATACAGGCGGAAACACCTATAAAGTACATGAGCTCACACTGAAAACACACATGACGTACAAGTGTTCATAATACTACTAGCTCACACTACCAGACACTGGTAGTCAGATAGAAAACACACATGAAGTGCATGTGTTCCCACTATTGACCACTAGAAGTCAGATAGGAAACACATATGAAGTACATGTGTTCCCACTATTGACCACTATAAGTCAGATAGGAAATACATATGAAGTGCATGTGTTCCCACTATTGACCACTAGAAGTCAGATAGGAAACACATATGAAGTACATGTTCTCACACTATTGACCACTATAAGTCAGATAGGAAACACATATGAAGTACATGTTCTCACACTATTGACCACTAGAAGTCAGATAGAAAACACACATGAAGTGCATGTGTTCCCACTATTGACCACTATAAGTCAGATAGGAAACACATATGAAGTGCATGTGTTCCCACTATTGACCACTAGAAGTCAGATAGAAAACACACATGAAGTGCATGTGTTCCCACTATTGACCACTATAAGTCAGATAGGAAACACATATGAAGTGCATGTGTTCCCACTATTGACCACTATAAGTCAGATAGGAAACACATATGAAGTACATGTTCTCACACTATTGACCACTATAAGTCAGATAGGAAACACATATGAAGTACATGTTCTCACACTATTGACCACTAGAAGTCAGATAGAAAACACACATGAAGTGCATGTGTTCCCACTATTGACCACTATAAGTCAGATAGGAAACACATATGAAGTGCATGTGCTCACACTATTGACCACTAGAAGTCAGATAGGAAACACATATGAAGTACATGTTCTCACACTATTGACCACTAGAAGTCAGATAGGAAACATATGACGTACGTGTGCGCACACTATCGACCACTGGAAGTCGGAAAACACACGTGACGTAAGGTGCTCACTCTATTGAGCACTGGAAGTCAAATAGGAAATACGTATGCTCACATACATGTGCTCACACTATTCATTCCGCTCTCTCACTTCACTGCGACAACAAGGTGAACTGTGAAAATGCCGAGAGCAAGGGAACTTCGTCGGGGTCTCTCTAGCCAGCCAAAGGAACGTGGCTGCCTTTGTCCGTTCTTGTCCAGGTTCCCAAGACTCTACGCCAGCAACGAAGAGAACATCATTCCTTCGCAGAACTTACAATGAGAGTACATCACGAAAGTCAAAGCCTGGTCTACGGACACCAACTTTCACAAGCTCGCCTCCCGGTTCCAATCCTTCACCAGCCAGCTCAAGACCGTTGCCATCAACGCGGGGTTCACCTACGTTGGAACTCCACGACGTGGGTATCGTATCAGTCAGGTTAGGTCGAAATTCGGGGGAAGGGGAAGGGGATATTTTGGCAGAACCTTTGGGGTATTCGTTGAGGGGGGACGCTACTCGTAGGGCAGTGCAGGAGGGGGATAGGATGGGGGTTACTGATTCCGGCCCGTTTATAGCACCTGTCAGCACCAAAATTGGGAAAGGGGTTTTTGCTTCTCGAGATTACAGGGCGGGGGCGGATGAGTGTGAATACATTGGCCAGGTTATATCTAAGGGGGAGGTGGACGACAGGTTGCGGGTATGATAGGCAAAATTTGTCTTTTCGGTTTATTACCATGGTTGGTGGTCATGGCAGGAAGTATTTCGTTTTGGACGGCCATAGAAATTCTCAGGATGATGTTATTCACCCTGATAAAAATTTGGGGGGAACCATGAACCACAGCTGGAAATCTCCAAATTGCAAGATTAGGTGGATAAGCTGGGGGTCCGGGGCACGGCGTTGAGGTTCATTATGTGCACCATCACGGAGGTAAGTGCTGGTGCTGAGCTGACATGGAACTACTGTAACTACCGGCACGGACTCGAAGCTTTCATCAGAGCCTCCTGACAAGTTCCCACAACGTCTCTTTTCAGGGCCACTACCACGGCCCTTTTTAGGGCTATCCATATATGCAAGGAGAAAACCTTGAAACATGATTTGAAAACGTATTTTGATTTGAGAACAAAGATTCAATATATCAATTTCACTATTACGCCATTATTATTTCAAATACTGGTGGAATGTAAATTGTCATGAACAACCCTCCTGGTGGTTAAGATAACGCAATATGTGTGAAGTGATAAAATGATCCCGTACAGGGGAGAACTTCCAGAGAAAAATGTACACAATGTATTCAGGTGTTGCCAAATATAGAAAGTTGTTTCCTGGATGTGACACAGTAGTAAGGGGTCAGCGCTTTTCCGAGGTGACGTTATATGCCCTCGGGGAAGCGCTGACCCAACACCATGACGTCACGGGGGCGGTCATGCGTTGACCGCCCTGTGACGTCGGAAAAAGACTCATCACCACCACCATGATGTCACCGCCTCCCTGTGACGTCGGAAAAAGGAGCCAACCATGACATCACAATGACCAACGTCGGAAAAAAAGGAGCTAACCATGACGTCATGAACTGACCACGCTATGATAAAGGCGCTGACTCACCACCACCATGACGTCACGGAGCTGACCATCCCCTGTGACATCACGCACAAATGGTGGCCATAACAATCCGAGTGCGTCCGTCAAATAATCTCAATTGCTCTCGCATGCATTTTTTACCTCACCATTAGCGTGCCATTAAATCTGAAGGAGGCGAGGGAATGTCGTACAGTCTATATGAAGCTCTCTACAATACTAGACCGCAAGACATACCTAGAGACTCTTAATCACACGTCTGTGTAAAGCTCTCTACAATACAAGACGGTAATATTCTACATAAAAACAAATCTGTGAGGTAGAAAACGGCAAAGCAGTAGTACGGAGTGTTATGTTCTTTACCTCGTACCGTAAACCCCAAACAGGGAACGAATAACAATTTTGAAAGAGGTCTGTAAATGTCGTGCTGTCCATGTAAAGCTCTCTACAATACAAGGCAGCAAAACAAATGTAACAAGACGCTCAATAACACGCCCTCCGGTATATGTAAAGCTCTCTACAATACATCACGGGAAGGCGGTTATATTCTACCATAGAAGACATCGAG